CAGAGACACACCCAAGGCCAAAGCCAGAGCCTCTGGAACCCAGGGGGTGTGGACAAGGAACCGGAGAGAGGCCGCAGGCTGACAGGCGAGGCCCCTGGCTGGGAGGGAGCCCTGCAGAAGGAGTGGTGGGGGCAAACGCAATGCCTGGGGGTCTTGGAGGACACACCAGGGCACAACGGCCAGGGAGTCAGCAAACCAAGGAGGTGGGATCAGAGTGGCAGCATGTCCGGGGCAGGCGGCAGGGGATGAAGGGGTCTGTGGGAGCCTTGGGGAAGTGGGGAATCCCAGCTTGTACTACCCACAAAGGGGTCAGCCAGGACCTGGTCTCCAGCAGCCTGGAGGAGAGCTGGCCCAGGGGACTTGAAGCCCCGAGGAAAACACCCCTCTGGGCAGTGGGCAGGCCTGTGTAGCAGGGGCAGAGGCTGACCTTTCTGGTCTCCGAGTCAAAGGGTTCTGGCGTCGGGGTCTTGGCCTTCGGGGCCTCCTCGGGGGGTGGGGCCAGCACACGGGGCAGCCCCAGGGGCCGAGCAGCAGCAAAGTTCATCAGTGGGTAGATCCCATTCCTGGGGACACGGTTGGTGGGGGGGGGGTGGCTAGGGACTCAGGCCAACAGCTGCCTGCTCCCTAGCCTCACTCCAGCCCTCACCTGACATCCTCCAGGAACTTGTCCAGCTCCAAGCAGGAGACCTCTGAGTACCTGGTATGGGTGTGAGAAGTGCATGAGGGTGGCCTGCCTGCCCTGCCAGTGGGGCAGGACCAGGTGGAGGGGGCAGGACTGCAGGCCACTCACCGCCACTGCAGTGGGGGCTGGTGGGGCCGGGGGATCTCTGCCAGGACTGCATGCAGGTCCATTGCCTTGGTCTTTTCCTCCACCACATTCTCAGGCAGGAGGTCTGCAGGCCGCAGGAGCACTCAGAGCAGCGGACCCTGAGGCACGAGGTCCTGCGGGGCGGGGGTGGGGGGCCCTTTGCATCCCGACCCCAGGCCCTCGGGCCCACCCCCAGGCTGGCCTGCCCCTCACACTGGTGCTGGATGAAGCAGTGAGCTGCTAGGAGCTTCAGCGAGTGCACCTCGAAGAGCACACGGTGGAAGAGGAGGTTGTGGGCAGAGGGCCGGTGAGCAGGGTCCCGGGCCAGGCAGGAGAGGATGAACTCCTGGGGGTGTGGAGAGGACGCTGAACTAGGTGGATTCTCTCTGCTGTGGCCCCACAGTGAGAAGAGGAAACCGCTGAAGTCCCCAGACCCCAGGGGTCCAACCCCCATGGGAGCCTTCATGCAGGAACGTGCATAGGGATAGGCAACCTGTCAGTGGCCAGGCCAAGGCCTGATTCTGCAGACAGGACACTCAAGGCTGCCCTAGGCCAGAACTCCCCATGTTCTACTTCCGATAACCCTCACAAAAATAGTGGGGAGCAGGCACTGTCACCTCCAATTCATAGGTGAAGTCTGTGCTGCTGATGGAGGACACCAGCCCCTGCCTTGCAGCCCTGGGCCTGGGCAGAGTGCCGGCAGGCAGCTTAGCCCCTGGAGGGCAGTGCAGCCCAGCATGAGCCCACCTACCTACAGCCCACCCCTCTTCTGTTGCTGCAGGTCAGGCCCTACTCTGGAGATGACCTTGATGGGTCTTCTGGCCCCAGATCCATGCCCTCCACTGCCTCTCCTGTCCATCCAGGCCTCATTACTCCCCTCCCATCCCCAGAGGCCGTGTGGTTATGCCAGACAGTCGCTAGACTCTGCAGAGAGGTTGTGGATGCAGCTTCCATCTCATATGCCCTTTGCCCACTCCCCACCCCTCCCAAGCTGGGACCACATAATTTCTAGTCTATCTCCTGGAGCCTTCCATGCAGGGGTGTGGAGTCAGGCAGACCGGGGTGCAAACACAGGCCCCACCACTCACTCTAAAGCCTCCCAGATCCTCAGTTTTTTTACCTATAAAATGGGTATAAAAATTGTGCCCACATAGGGAGTGCTTCTCTGGTTTCTCTGTGCTTAGATTGTGCCTTGAGAGCCTTCAGGTCTGGAACTCAACATGCGCTCCCAGTAAGGCCCTCCTTGGAGGGGTGAGGGGTGAGGCCTTGTGCAGCGGGCCTGGCACTGACCTGCTGCACCTCTAGGCTTGCCCAAAGCGCCTCACCGGCCCCACCTGGAACACCGACAGCCAGCTGAGAGGGGAAAGGCAAGCAGCTTACCCGCATGTTGGAGTCACTCAGGGAGTGCCTGGCACGGGCGATGGCCTCCTCTGTGACCCGGGTGTCCCCATTGGCCTGGATCTCCAGCACAGCCATCTGGAGGGCAGGGCAAGGTCAGGCATGGGCAAGGTCAGGCATGCACAAGGGACAGCACAGGTGAGATGGGTGGAGCTGGCTGGGAGGATGCCCAGAGGCTAAGGGGCTGGTACCTCCAGTGCACACATCCCAAAGGAGAAGATGTCTACGGCAGTGCCATCAGCAACCTCTGAAAGGAGAGAGCAAGTCAGGGCGAGTACAGCGCATGCGGTGCACACAGGGCAGGGAGGGGCGCGGTGGGGCGGGGCACCTGGACTCACCTCCGTACTCTGGCGGGAAGAAGTGCAGGTTCCGAGGTTCCTCCCGCTCAACGCGGATGGGGCTTCGGAGATCGTCCGGGAGCGCTATGGAGAGTCCAGGGGATGAGCAGGCTGGACCTCTCCATGGCCCTCCATCCCCCGAGGGTCCCCACGCACCATTGGAGAAGATTCGGTGCCACACTGAGCCGGTCAGCGCGGAGAGAAAGAGCGGGCGTCAACTTGGTGGGGCATTGGGCACCCTCTGCCCTCCATTCCTGACAGGCCTCCCAGCCCTGCCCCCTACCCCCAATCTGCCCCCACCCCCAGCCCCACCCTGCCAGCACCAGAGCCAATCTTGATGAGGCCGTTGTGCTGTATGAAGATGGTGTCACTTGTCAGGTTCCCATGGATGATGGGAGGACTGCAGGAGTGCAGAAAGCTGGGGACAGGAGGTGACAGCAGGTGGAGCTGGGTCAGGGGTACCGGGTCAGGGAGGTGGGGGTACTGTGTTGTAGGCGCTCCAGCGAACCCAGGCCCTCACCTGAGCGCGGACAGGATCTGCGTGCACCAGCGCTTCCAGGCCTGGCGGTGGATGGACTCCGTGGGGTGGGTGGGCGGAAAGCCAGCTGGGCCTGATTTGCCCCGGCCCAAGCCAGTTCCTTTCCCCAAAGCCGCTCTCCACCCCTCACCCTCTCCAGCACCAAACAGTGCCTGGAGCCCATCCTGCCCTGACGCGTCCAGCCCACTCCCCATACCCTGGCATTCATGGCCTTGTGGTTCTTCTTTGTCTTTTTGAGGAATTGCTTGAGGCTGCCTGATGACACGTACTCTGTGATGAAGATGACCTGCGAGGCGGGCAGGCCCACGGACTCCACCAACTGCAGGTGCCTCCAGCCGCGCCTCTCCCCCCACCCGTCCTGCCCGGCAGCTCACCCGAGCTCGGGCCTCAGAGGCATCCAGCCAGTACTTGTGTAGCTTGACAATGTTGGGGTGGTCCACCAGCGCCAGCTGCTCAAACATGGTCTGAATCTTCTCCTGGGAAGGGGGGGTGGTCACGAGGGTGATGGGAGGTGGGGTCGGGGAGGTGGCAGTGGGCCTTACCTCATGGGTGGCAAAGGCCTTCCTGTCACCGAAGTGCAGCTCGTTCCACACCACCTCCACCCCTTCCTCCGTGTCCATGGCCAGGAAGGTGCTCTGGACCCCGGGCACGTTCCCCTGGTTCACCTGGTGGTGGGGGTGGGGGCATGGGTGTGTGGGCATGCATGTGGGGAGAAGAGCACAGGGCAGGGTTTGGTCTCTGCTCTTATCCTTTCCCTCGGGCCCAAGCATGTGATGCAGGCGCTGGCTTGCTCTGGTGGGAAGCTGGGGGGTCTGAGGAGGACTGGCCCAGGAGAAGGGTGGTGTCCAGGGCTGGGCTGAGGGGATTTGGGGCACGTTTCAGGGGGTTGAGGATCATCCTAGGGGGCTAACAGCTGGTCTCAGAGGCACGGGAAGGTGGCTTCAGGAGACTGGCCCTTAGGATATCAGGGCTTCCTCACTGGAACGCGGGGGCCAGGCTAAAGGAGTGCAAGGGCCAGTCAAGAAGGGGGTCACCTGCGTGAGGTTGCAGAGTGGTTTCGGGCCTCCTGGTTCCCCAGAGTTCGCACGGCCCTGCGTGGCCACAGGGGTCCCTCAGCCCGAGGAGGGCGGCGACTCGCCCCGCCCCACCAGTGCCCACCTGCTCCCGCCGCTTCTGCCAGCGGCCACACGGGCTCTCTTCAGGATGTCGCTCTCGTCCTCGCTCTCGTCCTC